TCCAGAGAAACAAAATACTCTATGGAGTGATAGATAGATTATATAGCGAATAAGGTCTTTGATAATGATAAAGATATGAGAGAAAGGAAACTATGACGCAGAAATAAGAACCAGCTCCGTAAGTTTTAGGAAATGGAAAAGTAATTGTTGGCCAGGATTAACAAAAGGCATTTTGGCTTGATTGTTATATGATAGTCTATCACTCACGGAAAGACTCTACCAACAAAACATATTTACAAACCTCGCCACCCCCCTGTAGACTGGTTTCTCCATAAATGAAATAACAAGTGAACAAAGACTAAAGAAAAAACACTAAGAAAAAGCAAAACTCCAGGGCCAGATAATATCACAGCAGAAAAACCAAAAAGAAATAAATAGCACCTATAACAATATCGCTACCTATTTACCCTCATTTAATAGAAATATGGGAGAGCGGAACTACTGCAGTGGGATGGATCAAAATTCTACCTAAGTAACTACCCAAAAAAACTAAGACCACAGAAATTTAAGGCTTATTGAGCTATAGCCATCACATCCTATAGCATGGAAAAAAGCATATCACCCACACCAAAATACATAAGTATATACTAGCCAAGAAAAGAAAATACTGGATCCAAAAATTAATTTAGAAAAATAATCATGCAGAAAAACTAAGTACAAAACCCCCTTCTGCCTTACATTTGTGAATTATAACAGACCTATTGATAATGTTAACCATGCAGTTTTGTCAGAAAATAAGATAAATAAAAGCTGAAGTCAGTGAAGTAAGTAATTCACAGAAAAGGTGAAAGACAAAATCAAGAGGTAAAATTGAGAGATGAAGAAATTAAATAACCTGAAAAATACAGGAAAAAAAAAATTATGAGAGGTTTAGGTAGTTCGATTTAATTTTTAGTAGTTTTTTTATAGATTTTTTGTTTTTATTTAGCCTTAGGAATTGCTTCAAATTTAAGTTTAGATCCATTATGTCCTTCAAGGCTCTGTAGAACCATAATGTCTTATATTTGCAATATGTTTTCCCATTAAAGGAGTATAACCAATTAATGGCATCAATAACAAGGCTATTGTTGCTATGATTTCTTAAAATATGGGCAAAGAAAGTAAGACGTTTCTTTTTTAAAGACACGTGAACCTGGGTATGGTTAGACTTCTTCCAAAGATTTTCATTTGAGATAATATTAGGGTAGAAGATTCCATTTATTATTCTAAGGCATTTATTTACAAACGTTTGTAATTTCCTAGTTTCGGTCTTGGTAATCTCCCATGTATCACCGCCATAAAAGAGAATCGGGATGATGGTTGAGTTGAAAATACAGAGTCTTGTGAAAACGGATATCTCTCTAGCTTTCCACAGTTTAAAAAATTTATAAAAAGCCGCCCTAGCATTTTGTAAACGAATTTTTAGTTCTTCTTTACAACTACCTTTATTGTCAATGGTTACACCTAGATATTTAAAAGATTCTACTACCTTAACCAACTTTCCCCCAACCACCAAATTATTCAGAAGAGGCGCCTGAGACGAGGGCATTATCACTGTTTTATCAAAGTTAATATCCAAGCCAACCTTAAGACTAAAGGAGTTTAATATAGCGATCAAATTTTGGGTTTCTTCCAAACTTTTTGTTATCAAAACTATGTCGTCAGCATAAGATATCACCCTATTTTCCAAGAAAAAAGACTGACTGGAACTTAATTCTAAGAGATTCGCAGTAGCCAGCGTATCTACTATGATTTTATTCATAAGTATATTAAACCAAATCGGGGAAAGAACACATCCTTGTTTTACCCCTTTTTTTGTCCTAAAAGATGGAGAAACCTTATTATTGATTTTTAAGGAGGCAAAAAGACTACTATAATGTGTTTTAAGGATCCTTATAATATTAGAGTCAATGCCACATTCGGTTAAAATCTTCCAAAGCGCATCATGGTTAACATTATCAAAAGCACGTTTAAAGTCGATAAAAATAAAGTAAAAAGGTAATTTATACTTCTGACATTTCTGCATTATAATCTTTAAAGCTAATATTGGTTCGTTTATATTTCTACCTGGACGGTAAGCACAAATGTATTTAGACAAAAGGTTTGGTGTAGAGGAAAGAATGCGATTTTTTAAAAGAACCATAAAAACTTTTGATGCAATAGACGTGAGAGCGATGGCTCTATAATCCTTGAATTTAGATGGATTTGGAATTTTCGGGAAGTTGCAAAAGATAGTCTTATTCCAATCCGCTGGCATCATCCCAGTCAACCATATCTTGTTAAACAAAGGCAGTAAGAACCGAGAGATCGTTAAGGGAGCTGCTTTCAGATGTTCTCCTGTAATGTTATCTGTACCCGGAGATTTATTATTCCTAAGCTTCTTAATAGCGGCCACGATTTCAACCAATTAAAAGTTTGCGTCCAATTGTCCAACATTTTGACTAGTGTATGGGATTAAGGTAGGCCTCCTAGAATCAAAGACTCCCATATAGTGGTCAAGCCATAACGCTATCTGTTCGTCGGGGTCAGTAATTAACCTATTATTATCCAGTCTTATAGTTGGAAGTGTCTTGAACACTCTGGCTTTACAAAAATAATTTAGTTTCTTGTAGGCGTCGAAAGTTCTATTTTCCCTCATATCCTATTTAGCAATAAAGATCCTTCTATCTCTCCTTAGGAGTCTATAAATTGAGGTCCATAAGTGACCATCGCGCTCACCTCGTAACTTGAGCTGAGCTATCATGCGAATGGTGTCATCGGATAGCCATTCCTGTCTTGGTGGAGAAATGTTGATGTTAGGGAGATGATTGCAGGCATCAAACAAGTTGTTTTTGAAAGACGCCCAACATTCTTCGACAGATTGAGACTCCGACGAGGATAAGAAAGTTGCCTCCCTATCATTTAAGAATAGATCGAGCTGTAGTTTGACTGCAGGGCGTTGCAGGTGTGTTGCATTTCTCTTTCAAACTACAGCTCGATTTAAAATAAATCGAAAAACAAAGATATTTAAATTATCAAACGTTTGTGGCCATTTAAAATAATAATAATATATTGTAATTAATCCAAACCTAAATTATAATTATTAATTAATAATACTAAAACAAATAAAAATATTAAGTTAATAGAATATATTGCAAATAATATTATATAATATAGTATTGGAATGAAATATTGATTCCATGGGAATTCGTAATATTTAATTTCAAATCATTTACTTCCACGTCAAATCGATCACGATTCGGCCGACCCCTTTTAAAATTGTTAAAAATTTCTGGAATTATCTAGACAGGTAAAAGAGTGAGAAAGCCGTTTATTTTAGCTAGCTAGCACACCTGGTTCTCGATATAGGGGCTCAGAGGTACAAAAAAGAGCCACTAATCTGTAAAATTTTTAAAATGCTTATATCTCAAAAACTATTTATAGTAAAAAATATTATAATATATCATTTTGTAGGTAAAGAAATTTTCTAATGAGCTAACAAAGGATAATAAATATTGGTGCCATTATAGGCTTTTAACATCCGGTTTACCTAAATTGCTTTACCTGTATTTTTAAGCAAATTAATGAGTTTGTTTTCGAATTTTTTTTATTGCTTTTTATTTATACACCATTGCTAAATATATATACAATATCAAAACCTTGGTGACGTAATCGACTCCAAAAATTGATATATAAATAGATGGCGCTTTATGAAATTACGGATTATGGTTAAAATTTTGCTGCAAACTTATCAATACCCAGATATTTTCACTTTTTATATTAAAAAATTTTGATCTATTAAATATACTAATTAACTGAGGAGCAGAGTGGGCATATGCCCATTAGACACTTAATAATGTAAGAAATTTCCAATAATAAATATCTTTCATATAATTTTTTTTCATCATTTGATGAAGATAATGGTATAATTTCAGTCGTTAAAACTTTTTTTACTCTAGATATTTTTTCTTCGAATATTTCTTTTCACATAAGCGTTTTCTTTTAATAAGAGATTCCCCATTTGATTGTAGGGACATATTAATATTATAATAACCTCTTGATTAATTATATGAAGGGGAGAATCAATATCTACATTGCCATTTGAAGTATAAGGAATGTTTGCTAATTTTTGTCTCCATGAAGAGCATATTAACACATCTAAATTTGGTAAATTTTTTGGGTCATCCAGGATAGATTCTTTCTTAGATTCTCACGAAATCTTTCTTAGATTCTCATGATAACATGTCTCTGTAGATTTAATGGGTTGCAACATTTTAATATTTGGTACGTCCATCTGTGATATAGAATAAAATTTTAATTGATCTACACCTAGAATACATGTTTTTGCACTCTCCAAATCCAGATTGTTATTGGTAGACAAACGATAAAATTAATCTGAACGGACAGGTTAAAATTATTTTGCAGAAAGGGAGATAACAATTTATTTTGTAAAATAAAATAAGTCATTCGCTCTTTATAGTAGCAAATTAGAGATCTTGTAAAACATTTTAACGATAGTGGGAGGAAGGGGCAGAATTGGAAAATTTTACCACAATTTTTATAAACGTATCAATATTTTCATTTTCCTTAAATTAGCGCCATCTACTTTTTTCTTCAATTTTCTGTAAAAATGTATATTATGTATTTATAATTTTTTGGGAGGGGGAATTTTATCAAACCAATTTGAGTTTTAGGGTGAATTCACAGTAGAGAGCGACAGCGACACGACAATCACCACACGACATTAGGCGACAGAGCAGCTGATTTGTCGTAAGCGACATAGCATTCATAGTAGTAGCGACATGCATTTTTTTAATTTTATAAAAATATGGTTTCAATAACAACTTTAAAATTAATTTTATTATATCGGTACATGAAAAGAAGGAGAAAAAATAACCTGAATGTAGGAAAAGAAGAGGAAGGAGAGTTCTCAGTACTTTTCCCAAAACTTAAAAACAATCCAGAAAAATTCTATAACTACATGAGATTAAGCAAAGTATATCATTGTTTAATTTAATTTGGAATTTTAATTTATTATTTAGAAAACCTTTTATTATATTTTAACCCATATTAAATCAAAACTAGTGGTTAAAAAAACAAATTTTATTAAAAATCCCACATCAGTAGAAGAAAAATTGATGATCACACTAAGGTTTATATTATTTATTTTATTTTATATAATCAAAATTGCTTAGATATTTGGGAACAGGATGTAACTATCCAAGTTTAGCCTATTCATATAAAATGGGAATATCAACAATTCAAAAAATAATTATTTCAACATGTACTGTAATTTTTGAAGTATTTGAAAATATCCATTTGAAACCACCAAATTTAATTGACTTCAAAATAATATCTGATCAATTTGAGAAGTCTTGGAACTTTCCAAATTGTGTTGGAGCCATTGATGGCAAACACATTGAGATGAAAAATCCTGCTAATTCTGGGAGTATATATTACAACTATAAACAATATTTCTCCATGATACTAAAAGCATTGGTTGATGGTAAAGGTGGATTTATAGTAATTGCTGTAGGCAGTTATGGCAGTGAATCAGATGGAGGTGTGTATTCAAATTCTTTGTTATCAAAAATGATTGAGAATGGAGACTTGGATATTCCACCACCAAAAAACCTACCAAATACAAGTATCATTCTGCCACATGTTTTTCTGGCAGATGATGCTTCCCCGTTAAAATATTATATTATGAAACCTTATAAAGGTAATGATAAAACAATTTATTTTTTTAAGATTAAATAAGAAAAGAACAATTTAAAATTATTACATACAGAAAAAGAAAAGTAAGAAAATCAATTTTTTTTTAAATTTATAAAACTTTAAAGGTTATATTACATTTTATTTTTACATATTTAACAGGTAAGTTGACAAATATTTAAGAAAATTATAATTATCGCCTTTCAAGGGCCAGAAGAATTGTGGAATGCACCTTTGGCATATTGGCATCTAAATGGCGTATTCTTAATCGAGCCTTGGATACCAATGTCACCAATAGTGAAACTATTATAAAAACTTGTGCACTATTACACAACTTGGTTATTGATAAAGAAAATATAGATCTCCGCCCTAAGGATACTCAAGATCATAAACAAAATAATTATTTCTGGAATCCTCAATCCATAAAAAACCCCTCAAAAGTTTCTAAAGATATTAGAGATGCATTTTCAGAATATTTTTATAGAAATAAATTACCTTGGCAATTATAGCTTATATTTTAAAAATATTATTCTATTTTTTTATATTGATTTGTAATGATATAATAAAAAGAAAGTTTTATTTATTATATGTGTCTTAATATGATTAAAATAATAGAAAACATAAATCTATACCACAAGGATATACAAGATCATAAACAAAATAATTATTTATGTAATCCTCAATCTATAAAAAAAACTCTCAAAAGTTTCTAAAGATATTAGAGATGCCTTTTCTAAATATTTTTAGAGAAATAAAATTATCAAGACTATTAGAGCTTAATAATATAATAAATTTCAAAAATATTACTCTATTTTTTTATGATTTGTAATAATTTAATAAAAAGAAAGTTTATTTATTATATAATATATGTCATAAATATAATTAAAATAATATAAAAGCTCTCCAATGAAATAATAACAATATATAATATTTTTCACTCTTCATCAGTGTCAAAGTTTAAGAGAATATCAAAAATAATTTTAATAAGCTTCTTCTTTCCCCTTTCTGATCTTTTTTCCAAGGTTTGATCTAGCATGACATTAAGCCAAGAATTTCTAGATGATCTTATTTCTTTCATTTTTTCAATTTCAAGTATTTTCTCAAATAGATCTAGTTTAAAATAAATAAAAATATTTACAAATGTTACCTTGATCAATATTTTTTTTTTAAATTAATTTTTTGCAAGATAAATTTGATGCAATACTAGTTGATGGTGATGCTAAATATATATAGTATTTTTATATAAAATATGATTACAATCATTCCTTAGAATTGTATCTTCACTACTTGTATCTATGTAGGGGATTTCAATGACTATATATTAATAAAATATTAACAAAATTTAGTATATTTACCATCTTCATATTGATAATTTTCATTACCACTCATTTGCTCAAACATTGCTCTTGCAATATTTGCTTCATCAATTTTAGATACTACAGGATTTGTTTTTTTCAAATTACTGTATTGAATTCCTGGCTCTATAGTAGGAATAAGGAAAGCCATATTGTGATATAATTGCCAAGTGGGAGTTTGATTAGCCCCTGACCCACTCTTTGAAGATTTCAATTTTTTATGCTCCCTCATAAAGCAATCTCTTAAATTTTTCCATGTTGATTTAGCCATCTTCTCTACTGCAAAAGAAAAATATTTTAAATTAAACTCTTAAATTACCTGTCTCAATATTGTTTTCAGCTGATATTAATTTCCAAATTGAATTATTTTTCAAGGTATTTTTATAACCTATACATTTTTTGTCATAAAGACAAGGATGATATCTAATGGAATTGATTAAATCTTCTTTATTGATTTTCTATAAAAAATTATTAATATAATATTTATTTATATTCTGATATATATTTATATAACATTTATTATTTTAATAGCATATCAAAAATTTACTATTAAAATATAGTCATTGGTAATTACATATATTTGTATTTTGTCGTGTCGCTGTCGCTCTCTACTGTGAATTCACCCTTAGACGTATGAACAAAATTAATTAAGTGTTATTTTATGAAGTTGGAGTAGAAAAATGAATTTGATTGGTTAAGAATTATATATTCAATTTCTATTTTTAATAATTTAGAATTTTATTTATTTGTATTTTATTTATGTTTAGTTACAAAATTTGTAGGAATATATATATATATGTTAATTTAATAGTAAAGGTATACAAGAATTTAATAATTCTGTTGGTATATTGATAGTTTCCTAGAAATGATACATAAGTATATTAGTATGTTGGTAGAAGGTGGACTTTATTATATCATGTTGCAGTCAAGGTTTGTGTGGATGAAAGAAGTTTTTTAGGAGTAAGCAAAATATAATTTTTATAAAATATGGTAAATTGCAAGGATATTTTTTCTCTAAATATTTTTTAAATAAATGATTAAATTTTGAGCATTTATTAAAAATATACCGCCCATGGACATGAAGAGAGTAAAGAGGGTCCCCGTCTATTAAAAATTAACGAATTTTTAAGGGTAAGAATTGCCGAGCCCGTCGAGTAATTTTCTAAAAAATGGCCTGATAGGCGTGCCTGTCTTTCAGATCTCAGATTCTCACACTACGTTTCTAATATCTTCTTGATATATCACATTTTTTAATAAAAACTTTATCTCCACACTGTCCATCACTCTCACCTTAGCGACCCTAAGTACAAAACCCTTTTTTTTCAAATGTAACCCTTCCAAAAACCGGCAAAAAACGTGCCCATCACCAGTGACCCCTACAACGGGGGGAGGGGGGGTCCGAAGCAACTGCTTCTATAAATTTCTATGGGGGTACTTCTTTTTTTTTAATTTTTTATTTTAAAATTTTTTAAAAAATATTTATGGTCGATGTTTAGCAAATTAGTTTGTTATAAGATATTTTTTATCATAAAATTATTTTTCCACTTTCAATATTTGACGCAAAATTAAAATTTTATCAAAGTGAATAGTAAAAATTTAAATATTAAATCTTATATATAATCATTTATAATTTTTAGATCATTGTCAAAATATGCCCAAAAATATTAACCAAAAAAAATATAAATGCTTATCTCGCAATCAAGCCTTCTGGGGGAACAGGCAACAAGATGGCAATATGATGAGCCTTATTAAACTTATTGCAGATACTGAGCCTGTTCTTAAAATGTATATAAAAGATAATGAAGAAAGAAGAAGTGAGAAAAAAATTAAGGGATTAAAATCTAAATTATATTCAAATCTGTTATCATATAATAACATAAATATTCTTATTGAAACAATGAAAAATATGGTTATAAAAAAAATTCAAAAGGAGATTGTATTCAACAGGTGCTATTCAATTATAGTTGATGGCACATATGATGTATCGAAATCAGAAGCAATAGCTTTGATAGTGAGATATGTTGAAAATAGCGAGACACCTAAGCCCGTTGAAAGGCTAATAGACATTTATTGTACGGGAAATACAACGGGCCTCGATATTAAAAAGAATATAATATCCAAGCTTGGCTCCATGAATCTACCCCTCGAATTCCTAGTGGGGCAAAGCTATGATGGCGCCTCAAACATGAGTGGAAGAATTAATGGAGTGCAGGCTTTGATTAGAGCGGAGGCGCCAAAGGCAGCTTTTATTTGGTGCTATTGTCATCGTTTAAATTTAATAGTTGTTCAATTATGCCAATCAGTAAAAGAGCTGCGAAATGTCTTAGGAATATTAGACGAAATTTACGTATATTTTAATGGTGTTAAAAGATATGAAGTGCTCAAAACATGTCAGAGTGATTTGCTGACAAAATCACATAGATTTTTACGCATCAAGAATACCACTCGGTAATATTATCTTAATTGTTTCGATATATAATGTTTATTTTATATTTATAGAAGCTGGCTAACATCATATAAGGTGATTGTAAATTTTTTCCTACTTTATGATGCTTTGAGGGCAGCTTTGGCAAATTTAAAGGATTCTGAAGATCCTGCCACTTCCACTATGGCTAGTGCTATAGTCTATAGAATAGAAAAATTTGATTTTATTTTATCACTATGTGTTTTGGATAAAATATTGTTGATAACAAGCTTGGCTTGTACAAAATTGCAAACCATTTCGAAGGATATAGGGTGCAATAAATCAAATTCAATTGGCAAAAGATTGCCTGATTAATATGAGAAGTATAATTTAAATTATTATCTTTTATTATTTTATAATCCTAAAATATATAATAACACTGAATTTTTGGATGTCTTTTCAAAGGCCCAAGATGTTATGAAGAAGAGAAATTTACCTTTTGATTTTGAAAGTTCAAGACTTCAAACATTACAATCCAAAAAGGAGAGGTGTATATATATATATACTTTCATCATTAAATATAATATTTTATTTTAGCTTTAAAATCAGTGTGTTTTATGCTGCACTTGATTTAATTATTATGCAGTTTAGTGAAAGATTTAACGATGAATCGATAAAATTTTTGATTCAAACATCATTTTTTACCCCAAAGGGAATGGCGGAAAAGGCAATTGTTAAAGATAATATCAAGGATATATGTGAATTTTATAAATTAAATACAAGTCAAGTTTTTTTGAAATGTTGATGTTTAGAAATATTTATAAAATGGCTAAAAAAGAAGATTTGTCAGATTCTGAGAATTGTAAATTTATTTAATTAAAATATTTTTACTAATACATTATTTAGCTTCTTCTGATGATGATAATAATTCTGAGATGAATGATTCAGACTGCAGAAACTATTCATTTATTTTATCTTATAGTCTGTTTATAAATTTTTCTGCTTTCCCAAATTTAACAATTTTATATAAATATTTATTAACTATTCCTACTACATCATGTACTGCCGAAAGGGTCATGAGTAAAATTAAACTAATTAAAACAAGACTTCGTAGTGTCATGAAAGATCCATTTCTTAATAATTTAACCATTTTATCAATGGAAAATAATTTATTTAAACAATTAAATATTGATGAAATTATAAATTCTTTTGCTTTCTCTTCCCCTAATTTATCTAAATTATTAATTTAAAAATAATATTTTTAAAGCATATATTTTTTACATTATATTTATATTATAATAAATATTGAAAATTATTTTTGAAATTTATTGGTGTCAAAAAACAATTTACAATGGGGGGGGGGGGTACTTTAGGGGGGTATTCTGCTTCTATCCCTCAAAAAGTGTAGGGGTCACTGCCCATCACTCGTTAATACAATCTATGAGAGAGGAGCTCTATCCAATCCCCTTACCCTGCAAAAGCCTGACCACATCAATCCATAATTATATTTATATTTTCTCCAATTCGAAATCAAATTCTTTTTTTTGCTATGATAGACAATTTGATAACAGAAAAATGCATCCAGCCTATTATTTTTGAATTATTTTTGATTTTAAGATAAACCTAAAATAAATTATGAAATTTTTACATATATATAATTTATTTTTATAATTTAATTTGTTTCTTATAAGTTAAAAGATGAACTTTTTTGAACTTATGATCAAAACAAGCATA